TATGACTAGATTCGGGCTATGCATCCCCAGCCAGAATGATGCTGTGTCCTTCTCAGGCTATCACAGCTAGACGCACAGGATGGCCATCTGCCTAGCTGAAGGTAATTACGATCACCCAATCAAGATGTTGTCCTATTTCTTCCCTGTATAATTAACATTCTTTTTTCTCTTGTAATGAATAAACAATCCGTGAGGAGACATTTTAAGAACATGCATACCTCCTGTTACTCATCAAAATTCCCTCTTGAATCCATTGATGATTCCTGCCTGCGCTTCTCTTTAATATGATGATTGCAAGATGATGGTTCTGCAATTAAATGCAGCATCTGATTCTAGACTGGGTCCTGTACAGGAGGGGGAAAAAAATGTACTCCAAAAGGACATTATTGAGTTATTGACAAAGCTGGAATATGATGGCAGGTTAAATAAAAGTGCTATATAAAAGTTACGTCTACTGAAATTTACTCTCAAATGACTCATAAAAAAATCTGTGTGTATATACAAGTACATATATATGCATAGAGAGAACATACAAATGATAAAGCAAATTAAGTATGTGTTAAAAGGTAAAAGTTAGGTACTTGGATGTTCCTTGTATAATTCCTATTCGTGAAATTTTTCTGAAAGTTTGAAATTATTTCCAAATGAAAGTTAACAACACGCTTTTAGTCACCTACAGAATAAACATTAGATGTCCAACCTAAGGCAATGTAAGTCTTTCATTTCATGGCTGACACTGAATCGATGAACAGGCACAAGTTTCCCCTGAACTGAATGACCTCCAAGGAGCTCCTATGACCCTACGTGAAACGGCTGTCTCCACCTTGGTGCTTGCGGAAACTGCCAACTAAATAATGGTGGCATTTTGAAACGGAAGCTTCTAGTTCTGGTTGCACATGTCTTGGTTTTCTTTATTAAAAGACAATACAGAAATGATAAAATGATACCTAAAGGGTCTTGAATATAAGATGAAATGACAGAGGTCCCTGATGCAATGCCCCAGAGCCTCCTGGCATTGGCACTGGCAAGCTCTGTTCAGTCCCCTTTCATGATCTCCGCATACTCCTTCTGATGTTCAACCAGCTTCAGGAATACCCGATACTTCTTGTCATAATATCTGTGAGAGACAAATGAATATGTTGAATAATCTTTTTTTTTTTTTTAAGAAATTTTATTGGGGAACAGTGTGTTTTTCCAGGAACCCATCAGTTCCAGGTCAAGTAGTTGTGGAGGCCACAGCTCCTTGGCCCATGGGGGAATCGAACCGGCAACCTTGGTGTTATGACCTCGCTGTAACCACTGAACTGGCTGCCCCTATGTTCAATAATCTTAAACTGTTATGAAGCTTCTCCTTATATTTAGAACAGGAATATATCTGTTACAGTTTTGCAGACACCCCCCCCCACCCCCACCCACATCCACATACTCATTTTTTGGATGTTTACAGCATCCAAATGAATATTTATCAATGAATATTTATCAATGAAATGAATATTTAGCAATGAATATTATCTCTAACTTACACAGGCTGTTATTTTCATTGTAGAAGTAAATGACACTTGCTCAGAGAGGCATATCTAACATAGTATAGCTAAAAATTGGCAGAGCTGGAATTCAAACTCAGATCTGTCTGACTTTAGAGCCTCCATTGTATTGTCCTGAAAGGCCCAGGTGTGGCACAGGACCTTTTCCATCCCAGCTTCAATAAACAGCTCATATATGACTAGCCCCGGGGTTTGATGACTGGTTTAAAACCACAACCTGAGCAAGGATGAGACTAAACATTTTAATTACCCTGTGCAGATTCCACACCTACATTTCCTCTGCAGACTGCTTTGCTTGGGAGTAAAACCCCATGGAAACGTGACTAATGCCTCTCCTGTAGCTGTGCCTTGCCTCCCAGGCACCCCAGAGTGGACCTTACCCTCCCTGTACTCCCCAGCGGACTCTTCAGGGAGACCTGTTAGAACCTGGTGCTGGCCGTGAGTCAGATGGCAGAGCAGCCCAAAAAGAGATGAGAGCAGCTAAGACAAGTGATATGTGAAGACCTGCAGCTTTGTCTATACTCCTCTTGCTCGCGAGGAGCTGACATGGGGGTGGGGGAGGGGGTGGTGTTGATGAAGCCAGGTTAGCTTGCTGTCTTGGTAGATTCTGGGGTGCTCTCAAAGGAAGACCTCATGAGGGAGCTGTGGTGCAAGCTTGTGAATAGGGGGAGAGGGGCTGTAATAACCCCGGAACGTCTACTTGTAAACATGCAGAGCTAAATAGATTAATAGGCGTCCCCCCTCTTCTAAGCATTTCTACCTTAAGAATTATGGGAACTCAAGAGCTGCGATGGGGCCAAACACAGCTTTAAGAGGTGGACAATGAAGCCTGGGTTTGAATCATAACTTAGCCTATTACTAGCTGTGTGACCTTGGATGTGTTACGTAATCTGTTGGTGCCGAAATTTCCCCATTTGTAAATGGGAATAGTTATAGGATCTACCTGAAGTACTGTTGTGCGAATTAAGTGAGGTAATCTATGAAAAGCACTTAGAACACTGCCTGGATCATAGTGATATCAGTGCTAGTTATGGTAACTACTTAAAAAAAAATTCCAATATTATCATCAATCTAGCTATATGTGGATTCTACTAAAACCCATTCTGTAAGCCACTAAATTTATTGATCATAGAATGATTTTGGGAATAGCAATTTTCTCCTTTTAATGATACTCTATGACAATTTTACACTAAGCAATTTTCACTATCTGATGGATTTCCTATCTTCGGGATCTCAAAACTGCTAGAAGGGAACGTGGGTCAGTAACCCTTCTCATATACTTAAAGTTTTCCAATTCAACACTGACAACGTTGTTTGTTGGCCTTATTCTTCGTACTGTGGAAAAAACATGGGCTTTGTAGGTAGACCTGGTTGACTTTGGGCAACTTCTTTAAATGGTCTGAGCTGCAGTTTCCCTGTTATAAGAGGGTGATAACAGTACCTATGGCACAGATTGACTGGATTTTAAATAAGAAAATGAACATGATATACTCCATGAGCTGTCGAGTGCTAACAAATGTGAACTAATGTTCTTATATGATTCTATTATCCAGGAATGTCAAGAAATGCATATTTTCCCCTCCCCCCCCC